CCACCAAACGGGGCTCCTCCTCCCAGGCCTGGCTCCACCCTACAAGCCCTGTCCATGAAGCCTAGCTCCTCCCACTGTACCAGGCTCCACCCATTAGGTCTGGCTCCTCCCACCACGCCAGGCTCCACCCATTAAGCCCAGCTCCGCCCATCAGGCTTGGTTTCTTCCCTCAATTTCTATTAGGCCTAGCTCCTCCCACTAGTCCTGGCTCCTCCCCCTCAATTCCCCACCAATCCTGGCTCCCCTTCCTCCTCAGGCCCCGCCTACCGGGCCTGGCTCCTCCAAGCATTGCCCACCAGGCCTAGCTCTTCCTACCCGGCCTGCCAGCTACCGTGAGGCCTCCCTCCCCAGAAAGGCGCTACTCTGGCTCTCGAGGTCTTGGGTTCTTGCCCCACTCTATCCTAAGGCCTAGTTTCTGGCTTCTTCCCCGAGGCCCCACCCACTAGCCACTGGCCACACCCCTTCAAGCCCCTCCCACCTCCAGGTGCTTCCTTTTCCTCGGCCCATGGAGGCCTCACCTTCCAGCCCTTGCCTCCACAGGGAGCCCACCTAGCTGTCATCGATGCCCTCATGGCTGCCTTTGCCTTTGAATGGACAAAGACGCTGCCAGGTCCCTTGGCCCTGACCAGCTTGGAGCACAAGCTCCTTTTCTGGGTGGACACGGTAGGTGGTGTTGCACTGGGGTGGGGCTGGACCAGCACCGTCCGGTGACCAGAGCGCTGACCTCTCCCTGCCCTTCAGACTGTCCGGCGGCTGCAGGAAAAGACAGAGCAGGAAGCTGCCCAGCGAGCCTCTCCCGCCGCCCCCACAGATGGGGCGGCCCCAGCACAGCCCTCGGTGAGGCCAGGACGTGGGACAGACAGAAGGACGGGTGATGGGGAGCTGGGTGGACAGGGTGGGGCTGTGCCTCACGGCCATGCCTGAGGTGGAGGGCCAGAGGTGACTCTCTCTCTCTCTTCCTCCCTCTTTCTCTGTCTCTCTCTCTCTCTCTGCCCTGTCCCCGCATCGGCTCCTGCTTCTCTCCTGTCTGCCTCTCTGGCGTCAGTGCCCCACCCGCTGGTACTGGAAGCTGGTTCCTGTAAGTGGGGCTGTCTGTCCGCCCCATCTGCCTGCCCTGCTTGTCGCTCTCGTCTGTCTGTGTGTGTCTGTTCCTGCCGGCCTGTCTGCGCCCTCTTCTACCTCCCCCAGCTGTGAGCAAAGGAGGTTGGACCCCAGCCCTGGGCGACAGGGAGAACCCCTCCGTGAGCCAAGAGAAGGTGGCATCTCAACCATTCACTGAGAGGGCAGACCCCTCCCCAGCGAACTGACAGGGTGGAGGTGGATCCTCCCTCTTCCCGTCCACAAAGAGGGCCGGACCCATTGGGCTTGGCTCTCTTAGCCGAGGTGGAGGGAACCACCAGAATTTCTGAAGGGGGGGACCCACAGGCCATCAGACACATGGCTTCTGACACCCAGTAGGCGGGGCCCACGGAGGAGCTCTCCTTAGCCAAGAGGAAGACCCTCAAGCCCACCCCAGCTTCCCTCAGAAAAAATTCCAGCTTTGGGGAGAAGGCCTCGCCCTGAAGCTGGAGGTTTTAATCTCTCTTCCCCTAATTAGCTGTGTGACCTTACACAGTTGTCTAAACTTCTCTGTGCTCTATATAAATTATGCCTGCAGAAGATAAACAAAGGAAGAGGTTTGGGGCTGACTGGGGTGTCCGCCTTTGCTCACTCCTTCCCCCCACCCTGGGGCCTCGGTTGGGGGGTTCCTCTCTTGCCTACCTGCTTCCTCCGCGACCCCTCCCCGAGCTGGGGGCCTGGGTCTTTTGTGGGAGGAGGATTCCCCACATAGGAGGCTGCTCTGTGGGGTCCTTCGGGGCTGGGAGGAGCTGGGGTCCCCATAGCCGGCCAGAGCACAGTCAGGGAGCTGGACGGCCAGGGCTCAGGACCGGGGTCAGGGCCACCCCCTCCCCCGAGGTGGCTTGGGGGCCCAGCAGGTCAGCACCCCTCTGCCCTGCTGACGGCTGATCCTCTCCCCCCAGCACGCAATTGCCTTCTGTTTGAAGGAGTCGGGGAGCAAACCCCCCATGGTAACGTATCCCCCGCCCCGGGGTCCCAGGAGCCCCTGTCCCCAGCCCCCGCTGCTGGCCTGGCTGCTCAAAGACACCCCCTCTGCCTCTCGCTGCTGCCCCTCCCCCGCTCCAGGCTGCCCCCCCACTCTGGCTCTGGGACCCCCGGCTT